CTAGAAAAATTGTGTGATGGAGGTCCATGGAAGGCAAATAAGTTTAAATCAAATAAACAAAAGAGGATGCAGTTAAAATTAATAAAAGCGGTTCAAGCTACGTTTTGAGCATCCAAAACACACCAACGCTTTAGCTGGCTGCTTGTGTTCTTTCAGGTCAGATGCGTTCGGACTGTCAGGAAGCGCCTCTGTTGTTTTCCTCTGCCGGTCTCTGTTTAATGGAGGATGAAATAAAGAAAGTGGCGGTACTTTATTTACTTTGAGCAAACGAACATCGTGCTCACAAGATAATTAATCCACCAGATAATTCAGAGGTGGTCTTTTCGGTGAGTTTCACTCCAGGAGTCTTTCATGCTACGTTCAGGCCAAGCTGTTTACTGAACCAGTGGCTGCTGAAGTCATTACACTCTTGCGCGATGCTGCGTTCATGACAAACATGGAGAACTCACCACTCTTATGCCAATATGGTCGCAATGATGCGTTTAGGTACCGAAACATGGTACCGTTTGATGTTACGTGAATAGGTTCTCTGTAGTACCGACAGAATTCAGTCTGTGCTTAAAAAATTATCGAATTCGGTACCCATCTCTAGCTGTGAGGCCCATCATGAATGGGGTTGACTCAAAATGTTATCCAGTTTCTTTTAGTGATGACTGAAAGTTTCATTTAAATTTTTCATTTTTTTCTTGATGTAATAATATTTCTTTGCAATAAGTCTTATACAGTTGGAAAGCCTGTTTATTACATTTTTATTAACCTTTATTTAACCAGAGATTACAGATGTCTTTTGAAACGGAGGCCTGGGCCTGTAGGCAACCTAACATGCATGTGTTTTGGACAGTGGTAGGAAACTGGAAACCCTCATAGAAAAACTTGCCAAATCCTCTCTGCCAAACAACTTCTTCTGAAATTGACTCGTTTCTGGTGTTTATTGGTTTGGATGACTGAAGTCTTAAGAAACTAGACATTGACGTTTTATTCACTGAACCAGGGGGCTTAGTAGCATGTGGAAGAACCATACACAGCCACAACAGCCTGGCACCTCATCATGCTGTTCACCGACATGGTCACTCACTACTATGGAATGGCATCCTATTCTCGAACCATTATTTGTCACAAATCAGACAGTGGGGTTCTGTTGGTTAGTCTGGAACAGACAGCACGCCTAAGCTGATCCCACAGGTGTTCAATGGAGTCAAGGTCAGGACTGCAGGCAGATCTTCTTATTGTTTCTGCTCCCAGATTTCGGATGTAAGTCACCTTGGAGGATAGAGTTTGGTCTTCTTCTTCTTCTTCTTCTTTTGGTTTACTGGCAGTTGGCAGACTGTTATAGTGCATTACCGCCACTACTATACAGGATGGTGGAACTGGAGAAGGCATAGAGTTTGGTCTTGGACTGTGGAGATACAAGATTGTCACTGGTTGCTAACAGGTGCTAACAATCAGGTGCTAATAAGGCAACTGATTGTTAGCACCTGAGAAACCCGAGGCTGAAGCGTCAACATCAGAATAAGCTGTTTCTGATTGGCAGAGAATTTTTTCAGGGGTGTAACCCACATATTCACCCCTGCTGCTTAACCAACAAATGGATTTTACAAAAACAGGCTTTTTATTTTTTACATTTTTTAAAATTTGTATTCATAATATACAGCAGGTAAAATAAGTATTGAACATGTCAATATTTTTCTCAGTAAATATATTACTAGAGGTACTAATGACATGAAATTTTCACCAGATGTCGGTCACAACCCAAGTGATCCATGCATACAAAGAAATCAAACCATAAATGTCCAGAAATGAAGTTATTTGTAATAATGTGGAATGGCACAGGGAAAAAGTATTGAACACATGAAGAAAGGGAGGTGTAAAAAGGCATGGAAAGCCAAGACACCAGCTGAACTCTCTCAGTAATTAGAAAGCAAGCCTGCCCCTTGTCAGTGCAAGTTAATATCAGCTGGTTCAGTCCCAAATGATGGCCAGGTATCACACAAGAACCATCTGATGATGGGTAAAATTTAAGAGCTCTCTCAAGACCTTCACAACCTTATTGTTGCAAAGCATAATGACGGCATCGGTTACAGAAGAATGTCTAAARTTCTGAAGGTTCCAGTGAGCACTGTTGGGGCCATAATTCAGAAGTGGAAAGAACATRATTTCACCATAAACCGACCACGACCAGGTGCTCCTTGCAAGATTTCTGACAGAGGAGTGAAAAGAATTATCAGAAGAGTTGTCCAAGAGCCAAGGACCACTTGTGGAGAGCTTCAGAAAGACCTGGAATTAGCAGGTACGATTGTTTCAAAGAAAACAATAAGTAATGCACTGAACCACCATGGCCTGTATGCACGCTCACCACGCAAGACTCCACTGCTGAAGAAACAGCATGTTGAAGCTCCTTTAAAGTTTGCTGCACAACATTTAAACAAGCCTGTGTAATACTGGGAGAATATAGTCTGGTCAGATGAGACCAACATTGAACTGTTTGGATGCCAGAATACACATCATGTTTGGAGGTCAAATGGCACTGCACATCAGCCCAAAAACACCATACCAACAGTGAAGTTTGGAGGTGGGAACATCATGGTGTGGGGCTGTTTTTCAGCATATGGTACTGGCAAACTTCAAATAATTGAAGGAAGGATGAATGAAAAAATGTACAGAGACATTCTTGATAAAAATCTGCTTCCATCTACCAGGATGATGAAGATGAAACGTGGCTGGACATTTCAGCAAGACAATGAGCCCAAACACAAAGCCAAGGAAACTCTCAGTTGGTTTCAGAGAAAGAAACTAAAGCTGCTGGAATGGCCCAGCCAATCACCTGACCTGAATCCAACAGAAAATCTATGGAAAGAACTAAAGATCAGAGTTCATAGAAGAGGTCCACGAAACCTTCAAGATTTGAAGACTGTTTGTGTGGAAGAATGGGCCAAAATCACACCTGAGCAATGCATGCCACTAGTTTCTCCATACAGGAGGCGTCTTGAAGCTGTCATTGACAACAAAGGCTTTTGTACAAAGTATTAGATAAATTTCAGTAAGTGTGTTCAATACTTTTTCCCTGTGCCATTCCACATTATTACAAATAACTTCATTTCTGGACATTTATGGTTTGATTTCTTTGTATGTATGGATCACTTGGTTGTTACCGATATCTGGTGAAAATTTCATGTCATTAGCACCTCTAGTAATATATTTACTGAGAAAAATGGTGACGTGTTCAATACTTATTTTACCCGCTGTAAGATTTATCATAAACAAAAGCATTGTTACACCAAAAAATATTTAAACAAACAAACATTTTTACTTTATGGTCTTTGTTTATTTATTGGCAACATTTTAGAACAGGTGGATAGTAAGATGAGGATGACTCTCAGTAACTACTATACCAAATTTTAGACTCAGTAAAACATACCAAGTTATAGTCATGTTTGTGTTTCATAAGTTCACTTATCGGTAGCAACCATCTTGTATTGGATTTATTCCAAAAGTTAATCAGTCATAGAGTAACATCTAATGATCATTTCTTGAAAGTTTCATTCAAATCCATATTCATGAGATATTTTGCTAACAGACAGAGTTGACTCCAATAGCTAGGTGTTTGCTTGTTCCCTAAAACACCAGAACATTGTTGAGACTTGATGTCAGCATCATGACCTTTATGGACAGAAGTCTTGGAGCAGCTGTATGCGCCAACCTCATGTCGGCTTATTTAAGGCCTGAAGCATATTTTACACCTCATGCCAGACTAACGTGAACTTTTGTTTTTTTGTCCTGGTCCGATAATTTGGTCGTCCTCCAAACCAAGCCTGGATGGGTAAGCAACAAGTCGACCCTGATGAAATCTAATTATTTCTCACAATAGTTTGTAATCATGCATGCCTCTAATCCTAGTAATTGCAGCACTGATGAGATGAATGTCCGTCTTGTCTTGTTCAGCGAAGGCACGAGGCTCGGGGAAGGTTGGGAGCGCAGCGGCCGATTGGCTATTAGCGTGGGCCTTGCTGTGCCCATCTCCAACTTAACTTGATTACAGCGAGGTGGAGGAAGGGTGGGGGGTGTTTGTTTGTCTGCGAGCATCAACAAAAATAGACGATGATTATATCATCGGCTCGTTGGCGGGCACAGACCTAAATTACAAGAAAAAAAACACTCGCAAGCATTTGCAAGTCAAATGGGGCGGTGCTTTCATAGCAGCTTGATGCAATCATTTAGCTTGAGCTGCTAAAGAGACAAACGGAATAAATATTTCATTAGAAGTGAGACAATTCTTCTTTAAATCACAGGGGAAGCTGCTTAGTTGTGATTATTCCTTTAAATTAATTATGTTTCCAATCAAACAGGGATGTTTAAAGGCTGGAATGCGCTTCACTTGGTGTTTTTTTTTTTTTTTTTTCTGAGGGTGAGCTGGCACAAAGTAACACTTTGCACCTGTTTTTCTTTAAGAGACTCATTCTTTTCTTCAGCAACGCTTCACTTGGACACTGAAGGTGACGCAAGACACCATAAGCATGGCTGGATACCATTTTCCTGCTAAAATAACTCCTGAAAACCTGTTATGGATTAAAAAAACTTCCTTTTTATAGAAACATTAATTTAATAAAATCCAACAAGAAAATATCCAATAGATTTGTTCAAGTTGCGCTCTGGTTGTCATTTTAGGGCTTATTTTGCACATTATATAGAAAATAATTTAAAATATTTTAAAGCTGAACTTGGTGTCCTCTAAATATTTATTTTTGAAGTTATGTTCCATTCATCGATTTTGATATTTCTAAAAAGAAAATACTAAGTCCTAACTTTTTATAAAACAACCTGGTAAAGAAGTTTGAAACTATTTCCTCTTTATGGTCAAACTTTGTAAAAGATATCCTTAATCGATCACAGAATGTGTTCTCAATAAATGATGACTCTCAGCTACTGCCACAGCAAATTTTAGCAAAATATCTGAAAAATTGGCTAAATTACGATATTTGTGTTTACTAATGTTGAATTTGTTGATTGGTTTATGAGACATTTTACGGACAAAGTTGGTGCCAACGTTTTTCTTTTTTTAAGTGTAAAAACAAGAACTTTTGCTGCTCATTAGTAAACAGATTAAACCATATCAGAACGGTGTGGTTTAAACAAAGTTTTTTTTCCCAATTTAAAGTGTTTTTAGCTTAAAATCCTGATTTTATCTGTAAATCATTGTGGATGTATCATGATGTGGGCTTACTTAGGTGCATCTCTACTGTCTACTGTTTTTAAAGAAACAATAAAAATTTGCTGAAAAGGAATTTTTTGCAGATTCTCAAGAAAAATTATCAAAAGTCACAATAGAGCAGCTAAAATGATTTGAATTATAATTAAATTGTAAATTGGTTTTAAAGTGATCCATGATTAGTTGTAACATTAGATTTTATTTGATAAACATATATTTTAACTGTAAAATAAAGACTGTAAAAATACTGTAGGCTGTTTAGTTTATAGTTTTTAAAATAAAAGTTTAAAAATATATTTTAACACGGACGGGGCCATTTTATTTACACGCAAAGCATTCTGGGTAAATGATGACGTGGATAGGTCATCGGTGCGAGGCTGCTAGCGAGCTATATCCACCCTGAAGGTTAATCTTGGARAATATCTGATGATCGACTCTTTTAAATGAAACCAGAGAGCGTTGACAGAGAGGAGAAGGTAGAAATGACTCAGCCTGTAACTGAAAATATAGATGGAGGACAGCAGAGCTGCTTCATGGAAGAAGAACCTCAGCTTAGGCTGTTAGCTTTAGTGTTAGCCCCGATGCTATCACCATATATATGTATTAGCTCAGCGCCACACATTCTCCTCTCATCACTGAGGTTCTCCATCATGTCATGTCATGTGGATGCACTTAAGCACTTAAACAATTTGCAGTCAAAGTTCTGAAAAACATCAAAATTCACAAACATCTGGTGTTTTGTACCTCATGGAAATATCAACTATGACACAAGCTGAGTGTAGAAACCTGTTCCACTCAAACAAATCTAGACAGTTTTGTTGAAAGAAAAATTTGTTTTGTTAAAAAAAGATTTTAGTTTGTTTTTATGAAGTAATTTTTATTTTTAAGAGCCTAAACTTTAGACGTAAGCAGCTCGTACAGAATTTCATTACACAACCAAAACAGATCCATAATGTATGAAAATGATTGCAAATCATTATGCATTATGTCACATTTTATATGGTGATTATAATACCAGAATAATTTACTACCAGCATGCTTATGATCTTGTAAAGCACCTCCAGCACCTTTCTAACCCCTCACTTTCTCTAAAAATTCAACTTTTCTCCATAAATAATGTAACAAAGTTTCAGTTTAAGGCCTAAAACGCTCATAGTGTTTGTTCACGTCCTCTTCAGGCCCGATTAGCTCACGTCACAGCCGAGGCTGAGCTGAAGGTCCCGTACGCAGACGAGCTTCCTTCTCGGCAGGCCCAGCTCGCAGCGCTGCGAGACACCGAGGAGTTCGATGTTCTGGTGGTCGGAGGCGGGGCCACAGGGGCAGGATGTGCCTTAGACGCCGTCACGCGCAGTAAGAACGATCAATCTATGGCGTTTTTCTGTTTCTACTTCTGCACACTTTGAGATATTATAGGTATACTTATATATCCAGATGTTCAGTTTATCCAGGAGGTTTATGTAATCTTTTTATATTTAACTTTATTTTAAAATATTTTCCATGCTCAAATACATTGAGATTTCTTTAATTACTTCAAAAACATTGTTTTTGTTAAAATCTGCTTCTGCACTTTTGTGAAATCTCTCCAGAGTTATTAGCAGTTGAGTAATGTGTTGAGGATAAACTCCTGAAAACAATAATCTGAGGATTTTTTCCAGGTCCATGTTTGGAACCAAAGAATCAGCTACCACACCAGGTTTTAGCACAATATCTGCAAAACCAACCAAGTTATGGCCATTTTTGTGTTTCCAAAAATTTTGGCCAACAAATAAACACAAACACATCTTTAATGATAGTAAATAAACATGATTTAAAATTAGAAATCATTCATTTTAATGTGCAAGTGTTTGTGGAAAGAAAATCATGTATAAGTAAAGTAGAAAATATTTTTTGGAATATTTTATTTTTTGTCTTAAATTTGATTTTTCAAAACTTACAGTAATTTATGTAGAGAACAGATTTTTACAGATGATTATTAATACAGAGACACACATTTAGTTAAACTGAAAATACAATGTTACATCTGTTTTTATATCAACAGTTTTAAATGGTAAACGGTCTGAACTTATATAGAACTTTATCAAGTCCACTTGGACCCCACAGCTCTTTACACTAAAACCTTGTAACATCAGCTAAAAGGTTTCCTTACTCATATCTTTTACAGCTATAACTTTGAAAAGCTGTATTAGTCTATATATGTAAGACTTCCATTCTTTTGTTACCTTTAGCTTTTAGCCAGCGTTTAGTTTGTTGTTTGTTTCTTCTGTCCTGTTTGCCTCAGATTTGAAAACCGCCCTGGTGGAGCGAAGTGACTTCTCTTCAGGCACCAGCAGCCGAAGCACAAAGCTGATCCACGGTGGAGTCCGATACCTCCAGAAGGCCATCATGCAGTTAGACCATGAACAGGTTTCACTTGCTCATTGTTTTGTTCAGTCATTCACTTGGTCTGATGTATTTTTTTTAAAGTTTTTCATTATTTTTTGAATTTTATCTTTTTTATTAATTAGTACCTGATGGTGAAAGAAGCTCTGCATGAACGAGCCAACTTGCTGGAAATTGCACCTCACCTGTCAGCTCCGTTGCCCATCATGCTTCCTGTTTACAAGTGAGTGCCAAGTGTATTACATTACTTATCTTTTGGGTTCAGTGAAATGGTAGCACCTACCAGTTTGTCTTTAAAATCCCTCTAGTCAATTATAATTAACAGATGAACCCTGCCAATTTCTGCACAGACAAGAGCTTCCAGAAATGAGGTGGGTAGTACTGTTCCTACCTTGCTTGGCGGCACAGAGACACACAAGAGATGGGCTGTCTTAGACCCCTCTCGTCGCCTCGGTCCATTCAGAAGACACACCATGAAGGCCCGACTGAGGTGACTTGTAAAAGAGCCTTCAGTGTAGGGATGGGCGTGATTTATGAGTCAATCGTCTATCGGCGATTGAAGGGTTGGAACGCGATTTGTTTTTTTTAAGGGCGATCTTTATTAATTAATTAAATGATGTGCCAGGGATGTAAAATAAATTTTAAATGCGCCCTTCTCTGTAAATTAAAATGTTTTAATCATCTTCATTGTGATCTGTGTAAATGAGGGAATAAAATAACAGTGCTGCGTCTCTTTTTTTTTTTTCTCGGAGTCGGAGGCAATGTGCGGAGCTCCTCTTCATGTCTCTCTTCGTCATCTTTTTGCTTTGATGTGCCACAAAATGACCCAAATAGTGCTATATTATAATGTTTAGTTACAAAACGAATAATCCATGACAATCATACATTTGAACAAATAACTTTAACCAGTTCTGAACTAGACCAGAGCGCAGTCCCTCAACACTGCTCATCCTCGTTACTCTGGGCTCTGGTGTGTGTGTGTGTGGGTCGAACTTTTCAACTCCCTCCACATAAGAACACATACAAACTATATGGTGTGATTGGTCAGAAGTTTGTGGGAATGTTTGTTTGTGCTAAAAGCGCTCAGACGCTGCGTTTGCTTCAACCACTTGCTTAAAAAAAGAGAGAAAAAAAGGTGACGAACGCCGACTACCAGGAAGCAGCGATTTATAAAGATAGTCAAACGGCCAAAACCTCATAAAAGGGGATAAAATAGAATATTTTCACGGTGAAATCTGACTGATAAAAACTTTTGAGCTTTATCCAGGACCAGTTTGTGGATAAACAACGTCGAGTGACGAGTGTCTGACTTTTTTTTCCGCATTGGACTCACTCCGGGTAGACATCCCCTGTAGTGACCTATGCATCAGCGGGGAGGGGGTTTCCCAGGAGCTCGGCGCGGGGGTCTCCGGAACCATGAAAGGTGTGTGCGAACACGAACACCGAATAAACACGGAATTTACAAGCAACTTTAGACAAAAAGAAGCCGTTGCATATAATAAGCGGACCTTCTTGCTTTTTTTTCTGTTTTTTTTTTAACAGCGTAACTTTGCGTGCCTTATCAGCCGATTGGATCGTCTATCGGTGACAGCCAGAGACCATGATCTTATGATCTGAAAATAGGGATGATTTCCCATCCCTACTTCACTGTCAGGAGGGGATTCACGAGGAGTTGGTTATTTTTTCTGTTTGTTGTTGACTCATTTTCATTGTTTATTGGAAGATGGTGGCAGCTGCCTTACTACTGGGCGGGAATCAAGATGTACGACTTAGTGGCTGGGATCCACTGCCTGAAGAGCAGCTATGTCCTCAGCAAATCCAAGGCCTTGGAGCTTTTCCCCATGCTGAAGAAGGACAAGCTGGTGGGAGCCATTGTCTACTATGATGGTGAGATGCACGGTCTTTTCTTTCCTTTATTTAACAGGTAAAACCACACTGAGATCCAGATCTCATTTGCAAGAGGGAGCTAGGCAGAAATCTGCAAGACAACAACCTGGTTGCACAAAAATAAAACAAATTAAACCATAGTTTAAAACAAATTACAAAACAGTTTCAAAGCAACGACACTGATTGACAATGCTTATTTTTCAGAACCGCTTGAAATAATTCAAATGAAATAAGATCTGACATCTTGAGTTCAGAGGACAGCTGATTATGTACTATAGGAGCCATAACCCTGAATGCTTGCTTTCCTTTTTGTGTTCAAACACGTGGAACATGCAAAAGTAAAATGGTTTTGGAGCGTAAGGAATGGGCAGTAATAGCCCATTGTAGGAGAGAAGTGAAGTAAGCCACAGCCAAGCCGAGTAGAGTTTTATAAATCAGTAGCATCAAGTGGCTGTATCTCTGAATGCTTAAAGGAGGCCAGTCATCTTTCGCATACAACTCACAATGATGTGTAAGACGTCTGCTGCCTGTTACAAAACTTAAAGCACAATGATAGCCAGTATTCAGGGACTGAAGGCATTTGGTTGAAGCATTCATATATAAAACATCTCCATAATCCAGGTTTCGGTAAGAAGGTTGCTGATACCAATTTTCTTCTAGCTTTGAGAGAAAAACAGGATCCATCACGATAATAAAACCCAATCCATTGTCAGTATTCGTAACAAGTTTGCTATGTGCTGTTTTAAAGAACGCTCTTTATCTAAAGTAAAACCAAGGCGTTTATAAACTCTGTGCATCTGGAGCAGGGGTAAGCAATGTGGGAGGGGTCACTGATAATTTTCTGGAGTGCAAGAAAACCATTGCTTTTGTCTTATCCACATTCAGAACCAACTTCAGAGTATGGAAACGAGTTTGAACTATATGAAAGCAGAGTGTAAAAACTCTATGACCTGCAAAAATGAAGAAGAACCACAGTAAATTACTAAATACAAATGATAAAAAAGCATTTGACATAATTTTATTTCGCTCATCACTTCTGTTCAAGTCAGTTTTGTCTGTTTTTTTTTTTTTTTTTTCAAATTTTCTTTTCTCCTGCAGCAACAAACCATCAGAGTTAAAGCGACAAAAATGTCTGATAAATCATTTTCAGGCCAGCTGAATTCCTTTAAGACAAACCTGATGGTTTACAAGTTAACTAAACAAATTTACGGACCTAGATATGACATTGCAACCATCAATTACAAATGTAATAAAACCATAAATATTATTTGAATGAATGCACAGCAGCTGTGGCCCTTCATGTCAGAGTTTTAGTCTAAATCATCTTATGTTGAGAAATGATGGTGTTGTAGGCGTTTTGGTCAAACCTTGAGAATAATACTAGTCTCATGATATTGTGAGAGTTTGATATATCAAGGATTAGCACGTGTAAAAGGAAGTGCAAACACCCAAAGCTGATTTATTAATGGTGTGCAGGGAGGATGACATCTGTCAGATGAGCAATCAAAAGTCTCAATCCATTTAGCATGTTTGCCTTCATGAATACACAGAAAATATGATGATTATCAGTACGGGCAAAATACTGGGTGGAGAAAATTCAGACAAAATCATTTTGCACCTGCAGTCAGATTTATTAAACCTTCAAACTGGTTGTGCCGCTGTTTTAACATCTATGTTTAGCATGTTGGAAAGACAGGTGCTAACTGTCTGCTCTCTGCTTCAGACACTGTTATCACCTACACTTTGCAGTGTGAACGTAAATATCCCACTTTAGTATTAATAAAAAGTATATTACTGCAGTTTAGCAGCTTTAAAAAAGGAAATAAATTCCATCTCAACTGTGATCCTGTTGTTCTGGTTTTTTCTTCTTTTACTTATCCAGGGCTGGGACAGAGGAGTTCTTTTCTTTTCTGAATCTTTCTCAAAATGCAGCCAGCGATATTCACATATGTGATTGTAATTGTTTAAGAGAGGCCAAATAAGAGAGCTTACCTTTCTTTACCTCTCAGTCATCTTTGACCGATTTAGATTATTGATTGAAAAAAAAAAACCACAAGATTTCGCTATACTTCTTTAGCCAGACATATTAGCCCCGTTCAAAAGACAGCTCAGTTTGGGAGTGACGCATGTTCTGTCCTCCTAGGATCGTTCAGAAAAAAACACAACGGCGGAAAGATGAGTAAAGTGAGCCCGCCTCTGATGCCCCTCTGAGCCCCCAAGCAAGGTAGTATCAGAGCCTGGCCCGAGCCGGGCAGACTGACTTGTCAGAAAAATATAATGAGCTGACGACATCAGTGAGCGACCGCAGGATTAATCACAGCTTTATTACCGAGGGAATATATTAAAGATGACACTTAATCATTTAACATCTCAGAGTCTGTAGGACATTAAGAAAACAATAAATATAATCAAATAATTATCTTCTAACCCGCTCTGATGCTAGAAATAAGTTCTCCTGTCCTAATTTCCTCCTGCTTCTGCTGTTGTCATCTGCAGATTTTAGAGGCTCACTATAGAGGTAAACGTCTAAAGGGGTTGACATGTACGTTTGTAGTTTGAAAAATATTGAACCGCAGGATCGCTAAAGTGAGTTAATTCAGTTTATTTTGATACAAGGCAGACGTCAACGCGATAACTTAACGTACCCAGCACTTAACGATTTGCATAATGTTTTTAAATGGCAATGGTTTTTATTTTAAACATACTCTATTAGTTCTATGCATTTTTCCCATCGCTCCTGGAGCAGAGGTTTATCTTTTAAAGTGCCTGGAGTGTGGGTTGGGGTGGGACGGGCCTTTCTCAAATGATGGTGGAGGCAGATGCTGTCGCCTCACCTTCCCCACCCAATTAATTTTTTTTGTGCCATTTGAACCTGTGACCTCCTGACCTCCTCCTCTAACCTCTGTGCTGCCACTCTGTTTGGGAGTCTCCTCTTAAAATATGGGGCTGGAATTCCCCATGCGTCACTCCAATAAAAATCTAATTTTCAACTGAGCAATCTCTTAAACAAAACTATCTTGTAGCCAGGTTAGGTGATAAATTACTAAAATTTCATCAAACTACGTATCATTTCATTTTGAAGTTTTCAGATGGGGAATTTGAAAATAATATTAACTCGGTATCAAAATAAAATCCCTCATTATGACTCATTGTGCCAGCACAGGTCACGTGTTGGGAAGTTGTAGGATTAATACAGCCATGTCAAAATGTCACTTCTCCAGCAGAGTGGTTTTCTTCTGGCCAGTGAAAATATCACACACTTTTGTCTTATAATGACCCCAATTTAAAACAAAAAATTTCCAAAAGACTATTCTTGAGTAAAAATATTCCATCTGTGCTCTTAAAGGGATCCCTGATTAGTTGTAACATTAAACTTTATTTGATAAACATTTATTTTAACTGTAAAATAAAGACTGTAAAAATACTGTAGGCTGTTTAGTTTTGTAAATTTTTAAAAATATATTTTAACACGGACAGAGCCATTTTATTTACACACAAAACATTCTGGGTAAATGATGACGTGGATAGGTCCTCGGTGTGAGTGAGCTATATCCACCCTGAAGGTTAATCTTGGACAATATCTGATGATCGACTCTTTTAAATGAAACCAGAGAGCGTTGACAGAGAGGAGAAGGTAGAAATGACTCAGCCTGTAACTGAAAATATGGATGGAGGACAACAGAGCTGCTTCATGGAAGAAGAACCTCAGCTTAGCCTGTTAGCCTTTGCGCTAGCGCCCATGCTATATTGCCTTATATGTATTAGCTTGGCGCTAGAGCGACATACAAGCTAAACTGAGGTCCTCCATCCATATTTTCAGTTGCAGACTGAGTCATTTTTGTGTTCCCCTCTCTGTCATGTGGATGGAGGACCTCAGTGATGAGAGGAGAATGTGTAGCGCTGAGCAAATACATATACAGTATATAGTGATAGTGTCGGGGCTAACGCTAAAGCTAACAGGCTAAGCTGAGGTTCTTCTTCCATGAAGCAGCTCTGTTGTCCTCCATCCATATTTTCAGTTACAGGCTGAGTCATTTCTACCTTCTCCTCTCTGTCAACGCTCTCTGGTTTCATTTAAAAGAGCCGATCATCAGATATTGTCCAAGATTAACCTTCAGGGTGGATATAGCTCGCTAGCAGCCTCGCACCGATGACCTATCCACGTCATCATTTACCCAGAATGCTTTGTGTGTTAAAAAAATGGTCCCGTCCGAGTTAAAATATATCTTTAAACTTTTAGTTTAAAAATGTTAAAAACTAAACATCCTGCAGTATTTTTACAGTCTTTATTTTACAGTTAAATATTTGTTTATCAAATAAAGTCTAATGTTACAACTAATCATGGACCCCTTTAATGCCAAGTGCTACCACTTGGCATGAAGAATGTAATTTATAAGGTTTGACCAAAATGACAAAATAATTTTTTTAGCAAGAGCAGTTACTACTTGAAAGGTGGCGGATGATAAATATACGTTCTTTCAAGAAATGCTAATGCTGCACTTTCTCCAGATTTTCAATTGGAGTTAAAATCAAAGCAAACCTTCTCCTGCAGTCCATTTCTCTCCAAACTGAAAAGGGGCATTTTGTTGGTGCAGAGGAGCATCTCCTGTCCCCTCCTCCATCATCTGCTCTCAGGGTGGTGAGAAGAGGTGGTGGTAGATGGGGGAGGTGGAGGATCGGAGTGTTTTTTTTTTTTCCTCCAATTATGCCGTCTGGAAGAATCACGCCCGTGACATTTAGAAATCTGACCTTCTCTCCTGGCGGTGCAGAGATGCAAGCATCTTTCTCTCCTGCTGCCGTGGTTACGGCTGCAGCCACAGACAAAAACCCAACCTAGAATGAATCAGCTGCAGGGCTTTATTTAAACTGCTGCTCGTGGAAATGAAGTCCATGGCAAAACGCCACTTTTTCTTCCTAATCTTTAGTTTTTATGTTCACAAAGTATTGCTAGAGTAAAACAGCACCTCTACAAAATACATGTTGTAATATTTTAATGTGAAACTTAAAATTGTTTAAAGTGAACATAAAGTTATATCCTTAAAACAATAATTACCAGTAGAAGATTTTTGCAGGCTGATGTTTGGAATCAAGTCACCAGCTACTACCACACCACATTTTAGCTCAATGTCCATAAAACTTAAGATCAATTATTTGCCTTGGCTATCTTGAATTGGGTCGATGAGTTGTAGATGCACATCAAATGATTACATTCTGGGAGTTTATTTAAAAATCCATGAGATATTTTGCTCACAGACACAGACAAATACATCCACAACCGTTTGCCTTACAAAACTGATGTTAGTGTCAAAGTTGATTTAAAAAAAAAAAAGGGAATGAGACACTGAGATATTTTAGATCAGAGCTGTTGATTATGTTTTCTACACTTGGACCAGCTCTTCACTAATCCTCCCATTTAAGCCCACTTCAAAACATCCGGACTACCCCTTTACGATTATTTCTTCACTTTGCTACTTCTGGCTTTTAGACAGCTATTTAAGAGTTTGTTTTTAACTTTGACCCTAGCATTGCTATGTTTTAAATTTGTGTGCTGTTGCCTTATTCGCTATTATTAAGCCTTTTTTATTTTTTATATACTTGGATACGTTTTGCTTTTTACCCATTCATTTGCAACATTTAGCTTTTTAGCCTGTTGCCACATTTAGCTTTTAACAATTTTTTTTACTATTTATATAATTTAGTTTGTCTTTTGCTCCTTTTAACTCGTCTTTCACTACTTTATTCCTGGGTCCTTGGTAATGTAGCAAAATGCTAACAAATTTAGCTTTTAGCCAGTCTAGTGCCTTTTTTAGGCTTTTATCCTGTTGACACATTGAACTTGCCACTTTTTTTATCACTCTTTTTAGCTTATAGCTAGCCTTTTGCTACTTTTAGCTATTGTTTTGTTACTTTTGGCTTTTAGCTAATGTTTTGCTAATTTTAGCCTTTAGATGTTCTTTTTCTTTTAAATATGACAGCTTAGTTTCTGCTTCTGTAAATTTCAGCATTCTTCCACGTTCAGTTTCTCTAGTTTTCGTCTGTAAGTGATAAAACATGTCTTTTTTTCCATGTGCTCGTTTTTTCACATTCAGGCCAGCACAATGATGCTCGTATGAACCTGGCCATCGCCCTCTCTGCTGCTCGTTACGGAGCCGCCGTGGCCAACTATACCGAAGTGGTCCGGCTGTTAAAGACCAAAGATCAGCAGAGCGGCAAGGAGAAGGTGTGTGGAGCTCGCTGCAGGGACGTCATCACAGGTGAGGAGGAACTCAGCCCAAACATCAGTGTGTTTAAAACCATCATTTTTACACCAGTCATCTTCATGTTGACACATTCACTGAGGATCAGGGCTCCCAAAATTTTCCACACTTCCAGTTTGGACACATTTTACATAGTTGACTACAAATAATGACAAATATTTTTACAAAACTGCAGAAAAAAACAAAAGGAAATAAATAACATTTGCTGTGAAAATGAAGTAAACACTGAGGGCTGAATGACTGCTGAAGTTTGCTGAAGACATTAAAGGTGATAAAACAAGCTAAACTGAGGCTAAGAAAAAGCAAAAACACATGGTAAAAACTGAAATCAGCAGAACACTAGCTGTAAGCAATGCAGTCAAACAGTGGCCAAAATAATCAGACAACTACAAATAAAAGATTAAATAAAATTATTAAACCAGTGGCTGACCATAGCAGAAGCCGAAAGCTTAAATCAGCAAAATTAGTTGGAACATCATCAAAAATACAGCTAAAAATATCAGAATGAATGCAAAAGGTAAAATCAGCAAAACAATAGCTAAATTTAACAAGTTTACCTAAAAATAAAACCAAAAAGGAGCAGAATGGTAGCTAAAAGAGAGGCTTAAGTTAACAAAACAACTGAACTTAGCCAAGCGAACAGCATCAAAAGAGTTGCTAAAGTTAATAAAACATATGCTAATGAAAATGTTATAAAGCAATAGCTAGAATTAGCAAACACATCTAAAATACACCAATATTGTAGCTATAATAAGCAAAGCAGATGTTAAAGCAAAAATAAAAAACAAATATAGTATATTGAATTTGTTGCTGAGAGTGACTCATAATGCATACTGTGAATTGTGAATTTTACAAGATTTTAACATTTTTTACAAGGTTTGACCAAATGGCTCCAACTTTCTTTGGTCATTAGATGGATTTAGTGAAACATTCTGGCCTTTAATCTTGATGTTTTTTTCTCTTTTAGGGCAGGAGTTTGATGTGAAGGCCAAGTGTGTGATTAACGCCACAGGACCGTTCACAGACTCACTGAGGAAGATGGATGAGCAGAAAGTGGCAAATATCTGCCAGCCCAGCGCTGGAGTTCACATTGTCATCCCGGGTTACTACAGGTACCCAAACCCCACACAGGATCAGCTTTAAACCTGCTCCCACTGCTTCATTTGCATAACCTCATCCTGTGTATTCTCATCCTGCCGTGTGCGTATGAAGGCGGCTAAACTATTTTCTGACCTTCGCTTCCGCATGAGAACAATCTCCTGCGGTTAAGATACAGCGCAGCAGTAGAGTGCGTTTTTTTTTGTCAAAGTCGGAGGTTTTAAAGTTCAGCTCAGCTTATTGAGTGAAACCCGAGGGAGCGTGAGCCCTTTGAACAGAAATGCCAACCACCTAATTTTTTTCCTCCTCATTTTCTTTCCACATATCGTTTTTTTTCCCTCCTCTCCCCATCTTTTGTTTTTTTTATTTTTCCTCGACACTTCCTCTTAAATGCTGTAACCTGTCACGTTCAGTCCAGACAATATGGGCCTCCTTGATCCAGCCACGAGTGACGGTCGTGTCATCTTCTTCCTGCCCTGGGAGAACATGACCATCGCCGGGACCACAGACACCCCCACCAGTGTGACGGCACACCCTATCCCGGGGGAGGACGACATCAACTTCATCCTGACGGAGGTGCGCAACTATCTGAGCCCTGATGTGGAAGGTATGAACCCACTGCTGTAGTTGTATTATGAGCGTTTGTGTTTCTGCACGACTAATATCACTTTTAACCACAATTTAGATCCATGTTGTTTGTTGGAATTCTTTAAACTACAAAAGAAGAAGATAGATAGATAGATAGATAGATAGATAGATAGATAGATAGATAGATAGATAGATAGATAGATAGATAGATAGATACTGCAGCCTCACACAAATATTTTTATATAAACAATTACAAAAATAGACAATTCAAAAAATAAAAGTGTGGGCATTAAATAAATGAATTAAAATGGTTCAATGTAAATGTTTCAAATTAAAAAAAATATGTATAAAGTACAAATGAAAATATAGCCTTAAACTTTTGCAACCAGAAGCTGTTTTTCATATTAGTGACAATAACAGTAAGTTTTTTGANTAGATAGATAGATAGATAGATAGATAGATAGATAGATAGATAGATAGATAGATACTGCAGCCTTTTGGCAAAAACTGAGTTCTAAATGACTTTGCTGAAATTTGCTGAGGAAGCTAAAACTGAGTTGGAAGCTAAATGAGGGAAAAATCTAGCTAAAAGTCAAAAGGAGTAAAAAAGAAGGCTAGCCAAAAGCTACAAGTGGTATATGCTAATGGTATAAAGCTAAGTAAAAGTTAAAAATAGTAAAATGAGTGTAAAATGTTGCAAAACACCAACAATAAAACAAAATGCTAGCTATAAAAGCTAAATGCTAGTAGTAAAACACCAGCTTAATAATAAAATGTAACAATTTAGCTATAAGTAGCAAAAGGCTAGCTGAACTATCAGAAACATAACTGAAATTAGCATTAGCAGCATTGGCATTAACAATTGTAGAATTAGCTTTAACATTAGTAAAACGAGCAATAACAGTAAAAGTCTTAGCATTAGTATAATAGGCAGTCGTGGCATTAGCAGAATAAACAAACATCAACATTCCCACTATCAGTGTTTTTTGTAGAAATATGTGATTTAGATTTAAAAAAGGCTGACCTGTTTTTGTCCTTCTGTTTAAAATCTGTCTTTAGTTCGCAGAGGAGACGTCCTGGCAGCGTGGAGCGGCATTCGGCCCCTAGTGACCGACCCAAACTCCAAAGACACTCAGTCCATCTGCAGGAACCACGTGGTCAGCATGAGTGACAGTGGGCTGGTCACTATCGCAGGTCAGCTGCTTCTCCCACCTCTCTGACAGGAACGTGTCTCCTCTGTGGCTTTAACACTTGGCTCTGTGTGTGCAGGTGGGAAGTGGACCACCTACAGGTCGATGGCCGAGGAGACGCTGGACACGGCCGTCAAAGGTCTCGGCCTTACAGCTGAACCCTGCAGGACTGTGGGTCTGATGCTAGAGGGAGGGAAGGGCTGGACACCAACGCTCTACATCCGCCTGGTGCAGGACTACGGCCTGGAGAAGGAGGTCAGATGGAACTAGATACTTCCTGTGAAAATACAGCATGAACACTGAGCGCTGAATTAGTTTAAATAAACTACATTTGATCAGAGCAAAAGCTAAGTTTAGCCAAACAAAAACCAAATGTTAGAGCAATCAAAAAGCCAGATAAACACTAAAATTAACAAAACAGTAGCTAAAAGCTAAATCAGATAATCAAAAGCCAAATGCATAAACAGGATACCAGTAGCTCAGCTAAAACCAGCAAAACAAATCTTAAACCAAGAAACTGAAGCTAAATACAACAAAATAGCTGTAAAAGTTTGTTTTTCTTTAGTTTCTAAATGTCTAAAATTAACAAAACCAAAGCAAAACAGTACCTATAATTTTGATAACTTTAACTTCAGTTACTCTTCATTATTTTTGGCTTTTATCTATTTTGGTCATCTTTAGCTTTTTTTTAAATTTTCTATAATATTTTTCTGGTTTTTAGCATCTTAAAAATGGACTTCTGTAAAAGAGTAGCTAAAAGCAATAACTAGCTAAGCAGTGGCTAAAAGCAGAAACCCACAAACATTAGCTTAAAACAGAAAAAAGCAAAACTAGAGCTAAAATTAGCATGACCAAAAAGTCAAAAGAAGAGAAATAATAAACAGCTAAATTAGCAGAAAAGTAGCTCAAAGTTATAAGAACTATAGCTAAGTGCTAAAACCATCCAAACAGTAAATAAAACCTAAAAAGAAGCATTTGTCTTGTTTTTTGGTAGATTTGCATAGTTTTCAAAGCATTTCTGAAACAAAAAAAGTGTGAAATGTTTAAAAGTAACGCTAATTGGAAAAACTCCAGAGTCCTAAACAAGCTGAATGTTTGGATTAATGAATGATTAAAACAGCTGAAATAGTCTAAGAAATATAACGAAAAAATAATTTAAAAAGAATGAATGTTGAATTGCATCACAAAAATGACTCTTTAAGGTGTTGAACTCACTTGTCTCTTTCTGTCTTATGAAAGCAGTGATCCCAAAAGATGATCTTAATCTAAAACTTTTCTAACTTTCTGATTCATTCAGATTTAGATTTAGAATGAGCAAGAATGGGATTTTTGACAGAGATAAATGGCGTTAATGTTATATTTTAAAAATTCATTAGTAATAAGAGTGTTGGTTATATGTTACAACAGCCTGCCATAAGCATGGAGCTGACATTAAATCTGACATTCCTACGACAAAAGACAAGAGTCACGTTGAAACGCGGTGAGATCTGTTCAATTTATCAACGGTGTTTGGTTTGGATTCATTGACTGTCGTCAGCTCGGCGCAGCCTCCGATAATTAGCCTGCTGGTTTTCATTAAAAGCAGCAGAACATGGACAGCTCCTCTACAGTAAACTCGCTGCTCATTAGACACGGCGGCAGCAGCCCAGGGCTTCGGGAGAATATTCCTAAAAGGTCAGTGTTGATATTTGGACAGCATGTGGCCTTTCACACCATCGGCAAGCCAACCGTCTGAATAACAAACAGCCTCCTCTGCTCTGTGAACGGACGACGACACAGACAAAAAGACGCTCAAGTTTTTATTCAGGTACACAGAGGTGAAATGGGTCATCTGGAAATTAACCTTTCACCTTTTATATCTGAGTTTCATACCTAATTTCCCTCTGGGATCAATAAAGTATTTTTGAATTTGAATTGAATTGAATTGAAACTAAGATCATGTTCTAATTAGAAGGAACAGACCATTTAAATAAAGTTGTGCTCAATCTCATGCGATATCTCAATCAATCAGCCTCAGAATAGGGCTGGGCCATTTGGCAAAAAAAACGATCACGATTAATTTTTTCATGTCGTCTGATCACAATTAATATCACGATTTTTTTGTTAACTGTTAAAAAGTGACTAAGAAATTATTTAACAAATAAATATAGCTACAGGAATAAAAAAAATAATGGCTGTTATTTCACTTTTACTAATAACAAATTGCTGTGGTTCAGTAGAACATGAAATTATTTTTGCAAAGTATTTAAAAAGGTATTTACCAAGAAAAAAAAACATTTGTGTAAATCATAGAATCTGACATTAATAAAGTTATCATTTTGTAAATTTAAAGTTTTAGAAATGAATTTCACATTAAATATGTCATAAAGAAACGTAAACTTACAAACAGCAGCAATTTGTGCACACTTTAGTAAAGTAAGTAAAGTTTTATTTTTAAAGCGCGTTGCACAGAAATATATTCACAAGGTGCTGTACAATCATCAACAATGTAAAAATGGCAGAAAGATAAAATGAAACAGAATAAAACAATAAAACATAAACAGCATAATGAAACATCAAATCAAAAATAAATTCTAAAATTGTAACTCAGACACACGGTCGAGGCAGAGCATGACAAGAGATGAGTAAATAAAAGGTGGCGGGGTGAAATTTATGCTAAATATACAATAACACAAAAACACAGAGAGAAGGAGGGAGAGAAAATTATGCCGTATGTTCAATAACACAAACACATAGTTGGCGAGTAGTCACTGAATTCTGCCATTAATGGTGAATGGTTAGCTAAAAGCTTGAGTAAAAAATTGGGTTTTTAAAGGAGACAATGTTATCAAGGGAGCACAGATTAAAAGGGGGTACATTCCAGAGCCTGGGGGCCACAGAGGAGAAGGCACAGTCACCACGGGTCTTAAAGGGAGTCAGGGGAACCATAAGGAGATGTTGATCCTGTGAGCGGAGGTCTCGTCTGGGGTTTTAAGGGGAAATGAGACTTTTAATGTAGTTGGGTGCTTGGCCATGGAGAGCTCTGAAAGTGAGGACCAGGATTTTGAACACTTGCCAACTGAATAGGATCTAAGCTCATTATTTACTTTTGTTATGAAAGTAACCCCCCCCCCCCCCAATCAAAGAACAGACAACGCTGTTTCATTTTTTTCTGAAAGAATATCTGATTCTGCACACGACAACATGTTGCATAAACTCCCAGCTTCTGAGCGTTCAGGAGTTTGCAGCGTCTCTCAGCTGCTGTTTGTAATGAGACGCAGACAGGAAGTGGTCTTCACGTCGCGTCCAGCCCATCGTGTGCTGATAAATCTTACAGAAAAGTTCTTCTCCAGATAAATGAAGAATCACTGGGACATTGTTCTGTCCTAAACGTTACTCTAAGACCGCTTCATATTTTTGGAGGACACTTCTGTTATAGCGAGACGAGCATCACGGCTCACTTTTTCCCCCCTCCCTCTGTGTCAGGAGAGGAGCTCAGAACTCACCCTGCGTGCCTGTTAGCAGGTAATAACAGATACAGGAAGCGTCAGCGGCCAAAATACCTCAGAAACTTGTCTAAATAAGCGAACTCTGTGAGATTCAGCGTTTTATACTGGATTACTTTGGTTAATTCTGAGATTCTGTCTGCATTTCATTAGCAACTTATAAACAGAAGTGGAGCAGGAGGAGGTGGATTCTGATTGGCTGTGGTTGCGCACATTTCTGCCATGGTTGATTGAGGAAGAGGCTCACAGCTGATCACCGTGATCCACCTGAATTTTTTCGATCAATAATGGCGATCAACTAATCTCCCATCCCTTCCTCAGAATATGTTGAGGATGACTCTCAGTTACCACCACACATTGGCTGTGTCCAAAACGGCAGGCCCGGTCCTCCGAAGGCCGAATTCGTCAGCCGCATACGTCACAGCGCCGTGACGAAGGACGTCCAAAACCGAAGAGTCCTCCGATGCAACCGACAAATACGTCCTTCCTTTGGCCCGATTTGAAGGACTGGTCTGATGGATCCTTCCCGGCCCAGCATATCCCATAATGCATTGCGGCCCGATTGGAGATTTTTTTTAAGCTAGAAAAGGCGGACGAAGCGAGAGAAAAGAATACGTTTTAAATAAAAAATATGGCGATATAAAAATTAAATTTTTTAGCGGTTGTAATTCTGATACTTTTATCATTTGTATAAACGTGTTTTTAAATATTATTTTTGTCATAAAAAACGCGAAATAAGCATGCACCTAAAGCGGGTCAATTAGTTCTTCAAATGTTACCTTTAAGATAATTTTATTGTTTTGTGATATTAATAATGCTAATAAATTGATATTTTTCTAATTTTGATCTATTTTTGCTTCTGTTTAGCGTCGTCATGGTTGCTAGGTGACATGACGTACACCGGGGTGGAGGGGAGGCTAGACCGTCCAAATTCACAGACTCTTTTTTTCCGGTCTTCCCAGTCTACCAAGGACCCGACCCACCTCGACAGGGTAGTCTGGGTCCTCTGGAGGACCCGGCCTGTCGTTTTGGACACAGCCATTATCTCAATATCTATACATTTGACTAACTTGTAGCCATTCTTGTATTTGCTAAAATCACTTAGCTGCGACAGCCATCTTGAATCAGGTTGACTCCATTGGTTAATCAGTTGTAGATATTTGTGCAATAATTACTTTCTGTGGGTCACAAGATATTTTGCTAACAGACAAACACAGGCAAAGGCATTATTGTCCTTGTGTCTTCAGCAGCTGGCAACAACCAGGAATTGCAACTTTGGCTGTGGTTTAACCAGGTGTTTTATTGCAGGCGTGTAGACGTTCCTTATGTAATCCTGTTCAAATCATAATGTGTCCCTATTGCTCAGGTGGCCCAACATTTGGCCTCCACCTACGGAGGGAAGGCGTTTGACGTGGCCAAAATGGCTCAGGTGACAGGACAGAGGTGGCCGATCGTTGGGAAAAGGCTGGTGTCTGAGTTCCCGTATATCGAGGCTGAGGTGAAACCAGAACGCTGCTCATCAGGTAACAGTCGGGTTCTGTGCCTGAAGAGTCTCTGAAATGATGTCGGCTTCTTCCTCAGGTCCTCTACGCCATCAAAGAGTACGCCTGCACTGCCATAGACGTCATCGCTCGGCGAACACGCCTGGGCTTCCTGAACGTGCAGGCGGCAGACGAAGCGCTCCCACGCATCGTTCAGATCATGGGCAAGGAGCTTAACTGGAGTCAGGAGAAGAAGACGGTACGACTTTCTGTAACAAGCACTGGCTTTAATATAAAGAAAAAAACAGCTAAATTTAATGTGAAAAATTACATTTTGTGTGTATGCTGAGCGTTGAATATCTTAGCTGAAATTTGATCAAGAAGTCAAACCAAGAACAGAGGCTAAACTGATCAAAACTGAAGCTATAATGATCAGTGCACTAGCCCAGAGCAGTAGACTGAAGCTAAGTCAGCACAGCAGTATCTTGAAGCAGAACAGAAGGTAGCAGAGGAACTGTAGCTAAAACGAGGAGAGTAGAGGCTTACATGAACAGAAACACAGCTAAAATGAACATAAAACAGGCTAAACTTTATGGAATAAAAGCTAAAATGAGCAGAGCGCTAGCTAAAAACTGTGGAGAAGCAGATTGAAGCTAAACGCAGCGCAATCAGCTGTTAATTACAATCAAAAGTTAATCAGCTGTTGTTCAACATTCAATAATTAGTTGATGAGAGTTTTTTCCCTCTGGTTGAGATATTTTGCTTACACGCTCACAATTACATATCATTGTTTGTGCTACACTTTAGGACAACAGTCTGGTTTGTCTGATGTTTACAGTGAATATCAAACATCACAAGTTCTGATAAGATTAGATGCTTTGGAGTGAAACAGTTTGTCTTTTTACATATTCAGGACACACATTAGAATAACTGAATTCAAGCAGTGAAGTGAAAATTACTTCTAAGAAACTTTTTTAACGAAATAACAAATCCAGGAGGAACTGGAAGCAGCCAAGAAGTTTTTGTACCATGAGATGGGCTACAGGTCTCGGTCCGAGCAGCTCACAAAGACGTCTGAGATCAACCTGGACTACCAGGAAGTTGTCAGGTACTCATATGTTTTATTTTCTCTCTCAGCTGTGAAGCTCTGGTTTATATAAATACTGATCATTAGTAACATGTGCAACAGGTACAAGAAGCGCTTCCATAGGTTCGACAAAGAGACTAAAGGCTTCATCACCACGGTCGATGTCCAGAGAGTGCTAGAGGTGAGTTCCTCTCAGTCTTTGGTCTCCACACGTTGTTCCAGGTCACTGATTCTCTACTCATCTGTCTTGTCTGCAGAGTATCAACATCCACATTGATGAAAATGCTCTGCATGAAATCCTTAATGAGGTGGACCTGAACAAGAACGGACAAGTTGAAATCGACGAGTTCCTTCAGGTTTGTTACCAACATTCCAGCTGCTGTAAGAGTTCAGGATTTCTTTGGTCTTCAACTTCTTCTTACTTCAGTTTTACTCTTTGTTTCTGACTATAACAGAATATTACTTAATGCGTATTTGGTACTTACCAGGTACATCAGGGCTCTAGACTAACTTTTTGCACTGGTTGCATTAGTTGAATTTTATGTATCTCTCACTAAAAAACTAGGCTGTGTAGTCATAAAACCATTTTCAGAACCTGGAACGTAACTGTGGTGAAGCCAATTATATGTAACAGCGGCTTGCCATACAGGTGAGCTAAGTCATGCTGCTGGAATGATCTACTGCTGCGCTCCCAGAGCAGAGAGCCCGATGGACTTTACTACAGAGACTTAAGAGCAAGCAACCATCCACATTAGGGCTGCCACGATTAGTCGACGACTAATCGATTATTAAAATAATCGATGACTAATTTAATAATCGATTAATCGTTTTCTTTTTTAATTTTTTGTTCTTTACTTTGTTTTTCTCTCCAAACTGCTTTGACACCTTCCACTGCCACATCTGTCTTTCTGTCCTTGACACACATGCACAGTAGTGGTAACTGGGGTAGGCCGTGGACGTCACAAGACATTATACAGACAGGCTCTGGTATCATGGCTACCTGACAAC